ATCTCTGCTCATGGTATCATCTTGGAAGACATTGGATTAGAGAGAGATCCTGGCTAATAGATCCCGCCAGTAAGCCTAGAAAACACCATGAACTGAGAGAGACCCTTTTGCTTCAATCTCCTGTCATTGTTAAGTTAGCGATCAGTTTGTGTTTTGTACTTTTTATTTTTTTGTAACCAACTCTGACATTTATGTCTCCTTACTTGTAATCTCCTGAAAAATCTATCAGCCGGGAGTTGATAAACTGTGTTTGTCTTAACTAGACCGGCGAGTGTCTGGATGGATGGAAGAGCTTGGGATACTCCTTGTGCTGCTTGTCTTCTCTTAATGGCATGATGGGCTTTTGGTGAGCCAGTGTGGGCCGGGAGTGCGCTCTAATATAAAAGACACAGTGCTGGTGTAATGGACATTTCCCAGTGTCATTCCTCTGGAGTGTCATTCCTGGGTGGCTGGAGTACTGTAGCGGAGGGAGGGGGGAAGGATTTACACACTTGTGGCTGCATGTGAGCAGACCAGGCACCGTGGCTGGCACAGCAGAGCGGTGTGAAAGGCACCATCAGCAGGAGAGCTAAAGGGACACCGCTGTCTATGAACCCACGGTCACTGGCCCCATGGGTGCAGTGAGTCAAGTCAGGAGCCAGGACTCCAACCCCATTGCTTGGCCATGTAGACATGGCCCCACTGGGGAGTCCCTCAAAAGCATCCCAAGACCTCGAATCCCTTTGTCCCGGGGCCCATGGAGTCTGGAAGAGGGTCCGTTCTGGGAGGGGGATGGAAACCTGCATTATTGATAGTTGGATGCGGGTGGGTGTAATGCAGCATCGATGCTGGCGCTGCCGATTGGGATCTGGTGTCCCACAATTCCTGGGCTTACCAGTGAGTACAGACACTCCAGCCCTGGAGTAACAAATCCAGCATCTGCTCACTCCACTTCTATTAACCCTGCCATGTAGACAGACCTTGTCATGGCTCGTTCCACCCCCCACAGCCTGGAAACACGAGTGCACCCTGCTGGATCACTGCCTGTCCCAAGAGCAAACTCAGTCCTGCCTCACACACACACTGGGTAGCACAAGAGAAAAGGGGGAAACTGAGGCATATGTGGGCGCTGCACAAAACCCATTATGAAAGACCTCACTTGGTCACACACTCACAGGTCCTCACAGGAACAGCCTGTCAGATGCTGTGCAATGAGTTTGTCAGGTCTGTGAGGAACGGGCCCATCTTTGAGGTCAGCTTGACTTCTTCCAAGGACTTTTGGCCAAGGCATGTTGGCCTATGAGAACAGGGGGAAGCTAAAGCACTGGGCATAGGTCTGGTGGGAGCAGACAGAGACGGGAAGGCAGCATGGCCCTCCTCTGGATACACCCCTGCTCCCCTCTTTGATCCATCCACAGTGTATTAATTACTTGCAATGGTTCCATGCCCCTCTGGGTAGTGTTAACAACCAGGGCTCTTGGGGAGAGGAGCTGGGGGTGAAGGAGGAGCAGCTGGAGGGTTACAGTAGGAGTTTGGGGTAATTAACAGGATGTTTGTCCCATGCTAGGGAATCCATTCCTAGATTCACCTCCCCAACCCAGTGTGAACACTGAGCTCAGTGAAAAAAAATCCAGCTTGGAGCCTGGCATCGTTAAGACCCTCCAAACTCCCGTGCACAGAGATTGACTGTGGGGGAGTCATTGACCCGGACTGTGAGACCGGGGCCCTTCCTACCTCCATCTCTGGATTTCTGATTCTACCGTCCTTTCTTCTACCCCCCAGTGATAGTGCAGCCCATGGGGCAAATTGAAGGACACAAAGCCTTCTTCCAAAATATTACAACCGAGTCCAACTCCGGCCTAGCATTGTCCCTCATATGGCGGAGCAGGGACACTTACCATACCTCCTTGGACAGATGGGGAAGGGGTGTTAAAGTGGGACAAACATTCGGGCTGGGACTCACGGTGGAAACTTTTAATTATCCTCTCCCCACCCCCATGGCAAATTAACTACCAAACAGTCACCCAAATGGGCAGGGAAGCTGCATCCTGGGCCTTTTTAAAGACACACTGAGAGGTTTTCCTATAAAATCTGCTCTGTCAATTATTTGGGGGCAAGGCCCTGGAAGTCAGACATTGTGAATATGGTGTGCAGGTGTGGTCACCCCATCCCAAGGATGAAATACTGAAATTGTTAAAGGTAAAGAAAATGGCAACAAAAATGACTAGAGCTATGGAACAGCTTCCATATGATGTGAAGACTAGGACTTTTCTGCTTGGAAAAGGGGAGATAAGAGAGAAGCTGATCAAAACATGACTAGTGTGGAGGAAGTCAATAAGGAAGGTTTCTTTATTTCTCACAACATGAACTGGAGTCACAAAATGAAGTTAACAGATAGTAGGTTTAAAATGAAGTATTTTTTTTCCAGACAGCTCACAGCCAACCTCTGGAACTCCTTGCTGGAGCATGTTGTGAAGGCCAAGATTATAAAAGGATACAAACAGGAACTAGATAAGTTCCTGAAGGACAGGTCTCTCAATGACCATTAGCTAGGATGGACAAGAAGCTGGGAATGGATAGCAGGGGATGCATCCCTGTTCTGTTCATTCCCTCTGAAGCACTTGGTACTATCCACTCTTGGCGGACAGGATGCTGAGCTAGGTGAACCTTAGGTCTGACCCAGTCTGACTGTTCTTTTATCAACACCGTTAACTCTTTACACCCAGAGAGTCTATATAAATTATTGCAATAGGCCTTGGGGCTGATCAGGCATGGCCATGCCCTTGAAAACATGGTTTCATTGACCCCCTTTCATAAGAAAAGTCTCAGGTGTGTGTAGTTGTGGGTATTCGTGCTGCTCTGCACATGTGTTAGTTCCACCAGACACATCTCTGAGGAGAAAAGAACCCAGGTGTCCTGGAAGAGCTAAGTGGGAAGGCTCCCCAGGCACCTCTTGGGTGGAAAGTCCATGCCCAAAGGAGCAATGCGTGGAATGTTGTCTGTGCAGCTGTGGAGCCACAGTCTAGTCTCATTGACCCCAAGCCAGGATCTTCCTCCCTGTTCTCCTCAGGGCCGCAGCAACATCCTTGTTCCTCAGGCTGTAGATGAGGGGATTCAGGGCAGGCGCCACAGCGGTGTAGAAGACGGCGGCCACCCGGTCCTTCTCCTTGGTGTCACTGGAGTCTGGGTAGATGTAAGGGGAAGTCGCAGTGGAATAGAAAAGTATCAGCACAGTCAGGTGGGAGCCGCAGGTAACAAGGGCCTTGCGCAGGCCTTGGGCAGAGCGCAGGCGGGCCACAGCGACCCCGATGCGGACGTAGGAGGCCACGATGAAGGCAAAAGGGGTCAGCATCACCAGGACGCCTTCGGTGAAGATCACCATCTCGATAGTGATGATGGTGATGGGCCGAGTGCAAGAGAGGACCAGAAGGGGCGGCAGGTCACAGAAGAAATGCTGCAGGCGGTTGCCACAGTAGCGCAGCCGGGCAGCCATGACGGTGTCCAGCAGAGCATGAAGAAGCACCACGACCCAGGAGCCAGCCACCATCTTGAGGCACAGGGACCAAGTCACCACAGTGGCATAGCGCAGCGGGTTGCATACAGCCACATAGCGGTCATAGGCCATGGCAGCCAGCAGGTAGCTCCCCATGTTTCCCATAGACAGCCAGATGAAGAGCTGGACCATGCAGCTGGTGAAAGAGATGGCCCGGTGCTGAGTCAGCATGTGCACCAGGGCCTGGGGCAGGATGGCAGAGACCGTGCCCATGTCCACCAAGGCCAGCTGGCTGAGGAGAAAATACATGGGGGTGCGGAGCTGGGGGTTGGCCCACATCAGCACAAACAGCATGGAGTTCCCAACAATATTCACCAGATACGTGGCCAACAACCCTGCAAAGATCAGCAGCTGCAAGTCCTGCTGGTCGGACACATCCGAGAACACGAACTCAGAGATGGACGTCCAGTTGACCTCATCCATGGTGAGGGGCTGCAACAGCACCTAAGTGGGGAGGAGAAAAATGTCGGCAGTGACGTAACATACTAATGGATTATGCCAGCGTTCTGTGGATTTTGATTTAAATCTGTCCCACGTTAGAGACTCTTTCCAAACCTCACTCATTTCTGGTAGTGTTTATTGGCCTTCTGTCTCCTCTGTATTTGTCTAGCTTCTGCCCAAACCTACCCTGAGTAATCCTTAATCTACCTTATTAACACTCTACACGTAAACCAAGCATCCATTATTGTCAGGACTGCAGGCAAAATGAAGAACTAGCAAACTCATAGGCCAGAGCAGCTCACCTGTAAGGCAGTTTTCTTCGAAACAGGGATAAATCTTGGAGGAATGCACTTAGCCTGCATTACTGTCTCTTACAATGTTGGCATTCCAGGCTATAAGACAATATATTAGTTCTGCTTTATACCTTAGAAAATGTTCGCCCTGAACTTAGGAACCCTCCACGCCACTCATTCAGAAGGAGTTTCCAAATCGTATGAGACAGGAAGCAACCTGAATGGGGCAGGTCTGTGGTGGAACTCACTATAGTCCTTGAGACATTATCCACGCCCACCGATGGCACGGTGGCAGGACCATCCTCAACAGCTGTTTGTCCAGCTTCTCCTTAGAAACCTCCACTCACTAGACATCCCACAACCTCCATTGGAACCTGGCTTTGAAGTTCAACTAGCATCAGAATTAGAAAGCTTTTCCTAACCTCTGACCTAATCTTCCCTTGCTGCAGATGGACCCGGAGAACAATCGAGTCCCGTCCTTGTTATAGCAGCTCGAAACAAATGTGCAGATTGTTCTTTTCTCAGAGTAAAGATCCTGAGAGTCACAGTGTGGCAAGCGCTGCATATCTCATGGCAGGCACCGCGGCTACACAGTGTATCTGGAAAACCTACCTCAGAGGGCCTCAGTGTGCTTAGTTCATTGTCGAGCTGGTGAAGAGGGGACTCAGTACCAGTTTGAAAACACATTCAACTCTCCTGTAAAGAAAGGAAAGATTAGGGTTGGTTAAAGAAGGGGGTTCTGTCCTCTCTGTCACATGGCACAGCAACAGGGAGGCAGCCCATGAAACAACAGTGGGATATTCAAATAGAGACTCACACACTCAGGTACTGTGGAACTCATTGCCACAGGATGGCTATGAGGCTAAAACCTAGTAAGGTCCAAAGAGAGACTGGACATTTCCATGGGTAAAAGGAAGATTCAGAGTTAGACCCACTCAGATTTACTAAACACTGAAGAAGGGATATTCAGCTTCAGGGTTGTATGAAATCTCTTGCTCTGAGAGTCAGGAAGGAATATTGCTAGGGGCAGATGCCCCTGTGCCATCAGGTTCTTATACCTGCCTCCCCAGCATGTGGTACTGACCTGGGTTGGGGATGGATTCTCAATGGGTTGTTCTTACCCCTTCTGGTCCACCACCAGACATCTCACTCCACCAGACCCTCCCTTTCAATTCACACACAAGCATCATCATTTATGAGAAACTGCCAATGTCCAGCTAAGGGCTCTGAGTTTGACTTCTCATACCCAATCCTTCCTTTGGAAAATTCCCACCTGGAAAAGTCAGAAATTTCCCAACAGATGGATTCCTCCATCTCTGTCTCCAGGTAGAAAAGTGTTTATTTTTTCAACAACATGGGAAATATCCCCAGTTTTGCCTTTAAACCTACTAATGTTTTTCTCAGTTTGAGAGATGTTTTAAGGCAAAACCAGAGGAAAAGCATCGTTGGGTTCTCAGGGAGGTTGTGTTTTCTTTCCAAGAGCTGCTAACAGCAGAGTTGCTCACATGTAAAAATAAGCACACCGCTCGAAGGCAGCCAACACCTTTATCACATTGCTGTGAAAAAGGTTTAGCTTAGACATTACAAGACACTCTCTGACTGTCAGGATAACAAAGTGCTGGGGCAAAAGACCAAGGGAGGTTGTGGAATCTTTGTCATCAGAGGATTTTAAGAACAGCTTAGAAAAATCTTCTTGGGGGATCTAGATAATATTTAGCTTTGCCTCAGCACACTGGATAGATCGAGTGCCCTTCCAGCCCTACATTTCTGTGATTCTCATTGTAAGATGAAATCAGGAAAAATATCTTAAAGCAAAGAACGCACACTACGAAGCTTCCCAGAGATCACCCTAGAGCTTTGCTCAGAGTCTGTCCTTCAGATTTATGAAGTTCATTACAGACGACAACGACAGATCTATAAGCAGGGAACACTTCAGAAGGCTGGGGACTTTCTTTGCTTTGCATAATCAGAATTTGCCTTCATTCCCATAGAGATACCCCATGACACTGCTGGGTTGTGAGTCTGTTCTTGTCTGGTTAATTTTACCATTTGGTCTTTTGAAATCTTCTCTCATAGATTCATAGACTCTAGCCCTTAGACCAGGAGGCTGTGCCTCTCTGGGGGTACATCAACCCATCTAGATACCGACCTGGTTTTACAACAGGCTCCATGAAAAGCCCTAGAGAAATCAGTGAAAACTAACATTTCTTAAAGCGTCTGTTTATGCTGCTCTACACACGAGGCTCTCAAAGGCAAGCGTGATGCTTATATTCCACCTGATTGATTTTATAATTGTCTGATAAAAATGAGAACTTCCGCAATTTTTCAGTACAGATACATGTGGCACGTTTGTATTTTGTACATCTAGTTTCATATGCAAAAAGTATTTAAATGAGGTGAAACTTCAGGCAGAGGCAAGACAAATGGCCCTCCTGAAAGAGGTACGCTCACCTGGAAAGGCTGAGAGCCAAGTCTAGAGCTTGTCCCTCCTTTCCTTTCTAGCACAGCTCTTTTAGACATGCCTCCTCTCTCGTCTGAAAAATCATCAGATGTGATCTACCGCACCCATTGGTTGATTGTGCCCGTTTGTTAATTACATTCAGGGTTATAAATGTATGTCTTTATCCCCAGGCTGATTGTCTGGCTTCTGCTTACAGCTGGAGGGTGTCTCCTCTACCTACCCCTTTAGAAAACTTCCTTGTCATCCACACAGAAGTACTGTACCATCACTCATGAGAAATCGCCAATGGCCAGCTAAGGGCTCTGAGTTTCCTTTCTCGAACCCAACCTTTCCCTTGGAAAATCCCCGTCTGGAAAAGTCAGAAATTGCCCACCAGATGGGTCCCTCAATAAGGCCACGACCATGCAGAATTTTGCAATGAATCCAAAGGCTCCAAAGAGTATTCAATGCATCAAATACGGTTGCCGAAGGGTATTGAGGGAAATAAGCCCATCTGACCACGAAAAGCCTGCAAAACATTTGAGGAAAAGGCTCTGTTTTTCACTGACCTTTTCAGTGGGTTGGGCATAAAACATGTCCCCACTCTGAGCTCTCATTTTGATCCCATAGCTTCACATGAGGTCTCTCCTGGGAACTGAAGATGTGGTCTCTCCCAGCCATTGATGCTCTTGCAGAAAATGATGAGATGGACAAAGCCCCAAATGTCCGAAGAGCCCTGATCCTGTGCACCTAGGAATGAAAGAGCATGGAGACAGCGCTCTGTTCACCATGCTGAGCGGGGACCCCGGCACCATCAAAGCACCTGGCTAGATAGGACAACACATGATGCTGGAGATGGGGTGGGCGGATGTGAGTCAGGGACTGTCAGATGTGATTGTAAGTGGGGAACATCTTTCTCATCAGAGCCAGACCCTGGGAGGTAGAGGAACAGTCGGCTGCAGAGGATGTCGGGTTTTCTCCATACTATCCTGTTCCCCCATTTTCCCAGGCCTTTTCTACCAGCTTCCCCACTCATCCTCCCATCCAGTTGGCATTGCTCTACCAACTGCTCCTCTGCTGTTTACTCAATACCCACCCTGATACCCAGCCTCAGTTTGGAGATGGACACAAGATGTTCACCTTCCCCCAGTGTGACGTAGTGGGGGTACCTGGCTGGTTTCTATGCTGCTGGCTCTGGGGGAACCCCCACTGGCTGCTGTGGGTACCACGACCCAGCAAAACAGGATGAGTCACTATGCAAACCAGTGGCCAGACACCCCCCATGGAGAGGAACAAAGGAAGGTGGAATGCTGCCTTGGCTGGGGGGCAGGGCTGGAAGTGAGGGAGTTGGTTGCTGGCTGTCGGAGGGCATGGATGAGACAGCCTAGGGAGAGGAGCTGGAGTTTAGGGGCCCAGTCTCCCCCATCTCAAGGGGGCCTGAGGCATCCTAGCCCAGTTCCTGTGACCAGATTACATCTGTGCTGCGCTGTGCTGGAGGAGCAATAAACCACCCTCAATTCCACTGGCTGGTGCAGTCTGTTTGTGCCATTTCGGGGTGCAGGAGACGGGGAACCCCCAACGTGCCGTCACACTGGTGTCAGGAGTGGGATGCACTGCACCCCGTGGATGGAGCTTCCAGCGGCAAGCGACAAGGCGCAGTAGAAGCAAGAGCCCTGGAGCCAGGCGTGCTGGAGACAGAGCGAAGCGGTTCCTGGGAATCGTGGGGCGCTGCAGCACTAGACTGGTGAGTCTGCACCAAGGGGACCAGCGGGCAGATGGCCTACGCCCGACTCTTGAGATGGCACGGTGGCAGGACCATCCTCAACAGCTGTTTGTCCAGCTTCTCCTTAGAAACCTCCACTCACTAGACATCCCACAACCTCCATTGGAACCTGGCTTTGAAGTTCAACTAGCATCAGAATTAGAAAGCTTTTCCTAACCTCTGACCTAATCTTCCCTTGCTGCAGATGGACCCGGAGAACAATCGAGTCCCGTCCTTGTTATAGCAGCTCGAAACAAATGTGCAGATTGTTCTTTTCTCAGAGTAAAGATCCTGAGAGTCACAGTGTGGCAAGCGCTGCATATCTCATGGCAGGCACCGCGGCTACACAGTGTATCTGGAAAACCTACCTCAGAGGGCCTCAGTGTGCTTAGTTCATTGTCGAGCTGGTGAAGAGGGGACTCAGTACCAGTTTGAAAACACATTCAACTCTCCTGTAAAGAAAGGAAAGATTAGGGTTGGTTAAAGA